CAAAATCCTGTGGATATGTCAGTCCTTGTTTTTCATTTTTAGTTGATACAAAAAACATCAAAGTTGTACATGTTATGGTATACATGTAATGTTCAATATTATTCAATACTACACTATACAATATGCATTGTATAATGTTTAAATCAAGTTAAGTATATTTATTTCTCAGATGTTTATCATTTCTTTGTGGTAAAAACTTTCAAAATGCTCTCGTCTACCTTTTTGGAATATATAGTACATAAATTATCTGTAGTCACTATATTGTGAAACAGTATCTAGGTTTCCCCATATTTAGAACACACAATCTTGAGGTTTGACAATGTTGCTTTAAGCTCTATATCCTGTGCTCACCAGAAAATGCACAAGCCTTTGATCATACATTTAGAAAAAAAGAAAGCACTCAAAGTTACCCCAGATGCCAAACTAATTTATATGAACAAAAATCATAATTTTCAAAACTTGAAACTCTCAGAGGCTAACCATTCATCATTWAAAAAAGGAGCAAAAACAAAATAAAGTAGTCAAAGAACAAAGAAATGCAATATTTTAATTTCCAAGATCTACTAAAAAATTTCTGTTTTCTAGTGGTGATCAGTATAAATTCTTACATTTAAATTGCCCAGTTTTTGGGCTGGGGATGTGGCTCAAGCAGTAGCGCGCTCGCCTGGCATGCGTGTGGCCCAGGTTCGATCCTCAGCACCACATACAAAAAAACTAAAAAATAAATATTAAATTAAAATATTCCGCTAAAAACTAAAAAATAAATATTAAAATTTGCTCTCTCTCTCTCTCTCCTCTCTCACTCTCTCTTTAAAAAAATGAAAATAAAAATAAAAATTGCCCAGTTTTCAGCACCTTCATTTCATTACCTTCTCTAAAAATCCCAAAAGAGGGGTTGGTGATATGGCTCAAGGTACAACACTTGCCTTGCCTAGTGTATGAAAGGCTCTGGGATCCAGTCTTGGGGGTTCTCCCCAATGCACGCAAGTAAGTACACACACACACACACACACACACACACACACACACACACACATGCACACACAGCCCAAAGAGCTGCTCATTCATGGCTCATATTCAGCCAACAAATCTGGGTAACTTAAAATTGCTATGCTTTGAATTAAATCTGCAAGTACAAATAAAGTCCAACACATCATGCTATCTCTGTACTTGTTTCAATTCTTGGTGCTGTAACTCTCCATGGGTCCCTACATGTCTCCTCCTTTAAAGCCTAAGAAAGAAGGCATTAGGCTTACACCTGACAGGTTCTGTTGCCTCCTTTGCATGGGTCAGCAGAGCTGCTGCTTTTCAATCAGCTGGTCCTTATTTGCATCCTCCAGAGGTATGTTAATTTGGAATTGAGCATCAGGCCCACTCTAACTATAAAGGGACCACCCTACAGTATATTAAAAGGTTCACATCAATGTATGCAATTTAAATGCACATGCACATAATTAACTAGACACATTACCAGTGTGAGCTGCTAATTTGGAATGAGACACAAAAGACCAGAATGCATGTTGAAGGAAAAAAAAAAACTTTAAAATTAAAATGACTTCATAATGAAAACTGCTTCATGCTGTGTCTACTATTTTCATGTAAACTTAATATAACTGTAAATATATTTTAATGAACAGTAGAAAGAGGCAATTACAAAGAGCAAAGGAGGGCAGCACAACAGTGAAACATCATCAGAATAGCTCTTTGCCTTCATATTAAAAGTGCTGCCTGAAGACACAGGATGAATTATAACTTCATAATTTCAGGCAAAAATGTTTTCTATATTAAAGACATACCTATTTTCCAATGTGCTGGCAATGAAAAGAGAACACTCAAGTGAAAAAGCAGTGAGGAGTGGGGAGGGGATATCCTAAGAAATACAGAAGAGAGAAAATCCAAGTTTGACATTTTCATTTTGGTGTTAAAATATCTTATTGTGTGTTCTTCTTTTGTTAAAATAGCTTTGTATTCCCCAAAGATTTCTCTGAAGTGGGAAAGAATTCTTGACATATTTAAGCATCAAAAGTCATTCTAAGTACCATAGCCCAAATATATGTGAAGGTTTGGGAGTCTTCATTTAAATGCTGTCTATATCCTGGAACAACTGAAGAAAAGATTTGTCACTGTAAAATGAGTATGATAAATTTCATGACTCAAGAATTTAAGGGAAAGAATACAAGACACTTGACACCGATAGATTTTTGTTAATTAGTATTAGAATTCAGGTAAGAGAAAAGGAGACCAAACTATAGGAAAATACCTGAATGTTACAGAGCTGAGCTTGTGAGGCGTTGAGGGTGGAGGTGAAGATGTTTTGGTGAAACAACCTAAAAGTTCAGCTCATTAAATATACTGTGAGCTCTTAAAGAATAAGTGGGGGATGGATTTTACCAAATATTGAGGGATAACTGAGGGATAAACATTGTATACCATCTTTATTTTTTTTAAAGAGAGGGAGAGAGAGAGAGAGAGAGAGAGAGAGAGAGAGAGAGAGAGAGAGAGAGAGAGAATATGAATCTTTTTTGTAGATGGACACAACACAATGCCTTTATTTTTATGTGGTGCTGAGGATCGAACCCAGTGCCCCGCACATGCCAGGTGAGCGCACTACCGCTTGAGCCACATCCCCAGCCTGTATACCATCTTTAAATGGAAAATAAGACTTAATTATAAAGTCAGAGTCAACAGACCAGTTTTACTTAGTGCAGTTTTGGTGCAGTTTTACTTATCCTACTTTGCATATTGAACAGATCCCACATCTACTTTGGAATGTTAAATGAAGGCTCTGGGCTTGGTTTAAAGAAGATGAATAATAGCATCAATTATTGTCCTTGCTTTATGGTTATGAGGCCGATTATTACAAATCTATAGATTAAATGGTAGTATGGGCTAGCAGGCAGATACTGTATATTCTATTTAAATTGATATGGCTGTAGTGTTATAAAAAATTCTAATTACTCAATGATGCAACTAACTGTAAAACTCAGTGTGCTGCTTGCTTGAGGTGAGAAACCACTGCTGGTAATAACTCTTCTATATCTGACTCAGCATTAGTATGCAGTGTATACCCACAGAATTATGGAATTTTAGAATAGAGTTTTATAAGTCATCTAGCATAAAGCTTTTGCTAAAATGAAGAAACCAACTCTGATACAAATGGGCTAAATATTTTACCCAGGAAATGCAGCCAGTTAGTTCACTGCTCTCTCATTCTTCCCTGTTGCCTTTCAAGTTGTAGTTTTAGCAAAATCATATATAGCAAATACATTAACAATTTCTGTTTTCACTTTCATATATATTTTCTTTGATTATTCTCTTTCTTTATATCTTTGATACTTAGAAGTCTTTTGGTCAATATAGACATAATTCCAAAATAGCATATTTAACTATACTAATAAATATTTTAAAAGTATCAAAATAATGTTCTTGTTTTGATATTCCTTTAACATGAAAACAATGAATTAGTCCTAATTTAATGTAATTTTTCTCAACAATTAGATTCATAATAGCATTTCAATGGAGATGAAGCTAAAAGAGATTTTAAAAGCTTACACCCCTCCCAGCAATTTTCAGTAATTCTAATCCAAAGGTAAATATTGCTAATTTCAGAAGAATATTTTTAAAGCATAAAGCCAAAGGATATGATTTTCTGAATATGATTCAGAAAAGGCTGTCACAGAATAATCTTTTAATCCTAGAATTTTATTTACAAAAATTTACTGAAGAGCAAAGACTGGAATTTTGATATCAAAGGATATTAACTGTGATTTGCAGAGTCCAATTTTACATAAAACGAGTTACATGAGTTTGGATCCTATGTAATATGTCCCTTTCATCAAATAACTTAAGCCTATTAACAAATGCTTTGATGGTACTTGGTCCATAGAGATTTCCACTAATTGTTCTGTATTTTTAACAGTTTCAAATACATATTACAATTGTTTATTATAAAAATGACTAGAAAGCTGTTGCTGCATGCCTTGCAGCAGACTAATGAATATTGGGATGCACAGTGAAAGGTCTATCAGTCTACATGATTATGAAGAGACAGGACATCAAAACCGATCCCTTCTCAGTGAAGACAAAGTACTCCGTCATTCTGGACTGTTAAATATGTAACAGTAATTCTGAATATCAGGAAAAAATATGAGGTTTAAGAAGATTGTCTTTTCAGAGTTCACTGATCTTCAAGGAAGAGAAAAGAAAAGAAGAAAAGAGAGAAAGGGAAGATCTCAAGCCATAATTATGGTGTAAACTTCTGGGTGTAAAAACATATCTAATCTAGAATCTCCCATGATATCTACTACCATTCTGGCCCTTGGCATGCATCCAATAGAGGTTTACTAATTGTTCATGACATACAATTTAAACTCATCAGAGTGATTAAAATAATTTCTAAAACTGCAATAATTATTTGAATAAACAAAGAGTCAATGTGATAAAATGGAAATAACTTTGGATTTGGAACCAAAAAAAATTAAGGTTCAATACTTGTCTATAACAACCAGCTGTGTTACGCTGAGCAAGTTACTAAATTTCTCAGAGATTGAGCCTTCTTCTCTGTAAAGTGAGGATAATAATACATGCTTTGCAGAGATATTAGGATGAAATGGTATGTCAAATCACCTTGCAGTGTCAGGGTCAAAAGAGAACTGAATGAATAGAATTACCATGTTCTTTGGGTGAAATCTAAAACAAGTAACATCATAGTATCAATATTATGAAATTTTAGGCTTTCTTCTCAAGCCTTCTGCATCTGCACATATATATAACAATAGACAATTATTTATTAAGTCAGTGACAAAGACTAATACATATGCTCCATAGTGAGCTCAGTAACTGTTATAAACCATAATAGCCATGTAATGCCAATGAACAATGTTTTTTTGTGAAAAAATTCTACCTATTAATCAGTTGTAAAATACTTGCACAAATATGCTTGGTACTTATAAAATCCACACATTTTCTACCTTTCTATATTGTGAGTGCAATATCCTTACCAGTAACTTCCAGTGGAGGAAGGCATGTTACATCCAAAAAGTAACATATGATGGACAGTATCCATGCTGGCCCGAGGTTTGAAGTCAACTGTTAAAAAAAAAAAAAATACATGAATGTGAATACAAGTTGTACTTCTACACACAATATCACAAGAGACTATGTCTTRGAACACTGAATACCTGTATAATAAAGATGGTTCTATGTTCTAATGATAGAATACCCTGGTTCTATAAATTATCTTTTTCCTTAAGATAAGCTTGACTTAATTTTATTTAGTAGGATAGTACACTCTGATACAATAAAAAGAGAAAACAATAATCAGATGAAATACTACACATACACATTCTTCTTAATGGAAGACCCCCTTTAAAGTGGTGAAAGCATTATGTGGGTATAAAATGAAAGCTATAGGCYATAGAAATCCATACTACATTTCTGTCCAGGTTTCAGCAGAGTGCTAAGGACCAGAGCACACTCCACAGCAGTTCAGTGAAATGGAAATCACAGTGAACAAAGCGTGAGCAAAAACATTTATAACATAAGTTTATTACCTAAAAATGACAATAGCAGTCATTGGAATGTATGTGGAAATATGATTTATCAGGAAAGAAAAAATAGAATTGGAAAATATATCTACACAAATACATAGAAAATGTGAAATTAAGTCCTAGGTGAGTTCAGTGCACTTGTTAAAAGGATATTGAAGCTTACACAGTGACATTTCTCTTTTTCTCCTGATAATAGTGGTGGTAAGATAAGTTTTATAAGCAAAAACTAGTGCAGAAGTAAAACAGAGAAATATTTTTAAAATTATGTTATTATATAGGTCAGTACCCCTACCCACTCCTGGTAGGGGTTTAGCACAATCCCTTTTTGTTCTGATATAAAATGCTGCCAGCATGTGGTAGAAGTTTATGAGTTGCCTTTACTTATAAAATTCTAGTGTGATATCCAGAATATACAAAGAACTAAAAAAACTTAACACCAAAAGACAACCAATCAACAAATGGTCAAAATAACTAAACAGAAATCTCTCAATGAAAAAAAAGCAAAGACCAATAAATACATGGAAAAAATGTTCAATATCTCTAGCAATCAGYGAAATGCTAATTAAAACTACACTAAAATTTCATCTTACTCCAGTCAGATGGCAATGATCAAGAATACAAATAACAATAATTAAAGGAACACTTTGTCAGTGGGACTGCAAAGTAGTATAACCACTCTGGAAAGCAGTTTGGAAGATCCTCAAAAACTGAGTGACRGAACCACCATATGACCCAGCTATCCCACTTCTGGCTACTTTCCCCAAAGATCTAAAATCAGCATACAACAGTGACACAGCCACATCAATGTTTATATCAGCACAATTCAAAATAGCTAAATTATGAAATCAACCCAGACAGGTGCACATCAATAGATGAATGGATTAAAAATTGTGGCATGTATACACAGTGGAGTTCTACTCAGCCATTAAAAGAATGAAATTATGGCATTTGCCAGTAAATGGATGAAACTGGAAAATATCATGCTAAGTGAAATTAGCCACACTCAGAAACTCAAAGGTTGAATGTTTTCTCATATGTGGAAGCTAAAGTAAAATAAAGGAAAGGGGGAGGAAAGAATAAGATTACATAAGGAACAAATACAAATTAATAGATGAGCGAAAGGAATGCTAGTAGAATAGAGGAAGGAGAAAGGGAGAGGGGGAGGAGGAAGAATAGGAGAGAATATGGGGATCATGAACTGAAATCAATTTCCATGCATGTAYGAATTTGTCAGGATGAACCCAACTACTATGTATAACCAAAAAGCTGTAACAATAAAAATAAAGTTCAGCTTAAAAAAATGCTAGCTTTTTTTGAGGTAAATGACCTCAAGTCTCAAGTGTGTACAAAACTGCGTCTATTAACTATTTTGGTCTGTTTCACAAACCAATATAGCTGTGTGGGCACCTGTCTGGGTTGATTTCATAATTTAGTAAAACATCATTTGTTGTTAAAATATGCAGCTGAGAYATGAGTGTTTATCAAATAAAGAAGTGTTCTTTATCAAACTGTGGCCCCACCACTTGCAAAGTGTGGCTATCAGAAAACTGAGGGGCCTTACTATGTGCTGCCTTGACTTACAACTTTCAGAGGAAATAAAAAGATGTGTATTAACTATACTGAAAATAATAACTTAAAGTCTAAAAACCAAAATTTGAGGTTTTCATACCACCATTAAAAAAAAAAACAGGAAAGAGAGAATGTTGGAAAATAGACAATATAACTTTAAGCCATATCACAGAAAAAGTCTATCAACAAAAAAAGTGTTGTGGAGTGATAGTGGCCATCATATCATTATATTGCATGCACATAAAAATATGTAACAACAAATTCCACCATGATGTATAACTATAATGTGCCAATAAAAATTGTGGAAAATTTTTAAAAAATGTATAAAAAAAACAAAAAAGAGAATATTGTTTATAGTCTATCACCAAAGAATACAGTAGAACTAGGAAATTAAAGATACCTTGGAAGGAAAGAATCAACTGGAAATTGCAACACTTCACAACTCATAGAAAATCATATTGATACTAAACTGAAGTTTGTTAGCAAGAGAAACAGAAGGAAGAAAAAGGGATTCCACTTCACAGACCACTCTCAACATTAGTGCAGGACTTCTTTCCTCATGTCCAGAATCCTCCCAGCAGAAGAAAAATTTTAAAAGCCCTAAGGCAAAGGACCTGGAAGTTATTTATTATTTATTCACCTTAAATTTATTTTGGTAGATAACAGATTTGTAATTTTATATTCAATTTTGTCAAATTGCTTAATCACCCTATGGACATCTACTAATTTTTCATCTGACTGTATCCTTTCTTTTCTTTTCATCTCCCCTCTCCTCCCCTCCCCTCCCTTCCCTTCCCTTCCCCTCCCTTCCCCTCTTCTCTTCTCTTTTCTTTCTCTCTTTTTGCTTTGGTACCAGGGATTAAACTCAGGGTCACATAACCGCTGAGCCACATTCTAAGCCACTTTTTAAAGTTTTGAGWCAGGGTCTCACTAAGGCCTTAGGGCCTTGCTAGGTTGCTGAGGTTAGTCTCSAACTTGCAACCCTCCTGCTTCAGCCTCCTGAGTTACTGGGATTACAGGTGAGTACCACCATCCTTACATTCTTTTTAGATATTATCACTCCACTAACCTATGAGGGGTTGTCAAACAAGGGAAAGAGGCTGATTCCTCTGCTTTTTCATAACTCATGTAGATGATTACATGATCTCCAGCCCTGCGATTATCTTATTAGAGGTGGACAGATCTCCTATCATAGAATCATCCTTGGAATTTTGGTCACAAATTAACAGGGTCAAGGGTAGTTTATTCCAAGATTAGACTGTTAGATGCAAAACAACATGGGTTTTAGGCATTAGCTACAAACTCAAGTGGAAATTCCAGCTGAGTTGGAATCCTATGTTTTCTTCAAGAAAGAGTTCAGAGAACTATCTATTTGGGAATCACTCAGAGATTAAACCCAGAATCTGTAAAGTTGGACAAAYGCACTAAAGATGAATAAAACCAGAGGGAAGGCTCAGGGCAGAGCAATAGGGAAAGCCTTGAACTGTTGTGATCCATTTAGAAGATATCAATGACTTTTTTTAATGTTAATTCTTTGTGCATGCTTCTTTGAAACAAGGCAAAATAACCTCTTTGGAAAAAGGGTGAGCCATCAGTAACTTTATAAAATTATTAATAAGCAAAAGATTCAAGTAAGAATCGGTGGGAAGAGGAACAGATCATAAAGACAACAACATGCAATCTCTGAGGCTTTTTATTGGAAAGAAAAGTGTTTTCCTGGCCTTTTGCTTATTGAAAAAGATCTTCTGACTGTCTTCTGTGAAGTAAAAAGTAAATCTTAATTACTCAAAAAACAAATTCTCTAACCACATTTTTTTCTCATTCTGACATAATCTTTTAAGTATCATTTATTTGTTTCATACTGAACTCTTATTAGCTACATTTAATTCCCATGTCTAAAAAGAAAAAAATAAATGTATGTCTTTAAGCAGCAGTAAAAAAAATTGTTCAGTTCCCTCTCTTGAAAACTTTATTCAAACTGACTCACAAATTCCTCCAGACACTCAAGAAATAATTTAATTGATAAATTGGTACAAGATGAAACATGCAACTTACCACCTTTGTTCATATCCTAAGCAAAAGGTTAATCAGTATTTATATAATTAAGCTTAATGTATAATTTATTGAAAATTGAAGTAAAAATTACCTCCAGTAAAAAAAAAATGCATATCAAAAATAAGTATAAAACAAACAGAAGATGCCTTTAAATAAAGCAGTACTTAGATAATTTCATTAAAAGGCCTGCCTGTGGTGGGAAGGGGCCAGGTGGAAAAAGATTAGTCTGACAGGTTCTCTTCCTGGATTTGCTCCACTCCTACTTATTACAGAAATAATAATAAGACCCCATTCCTTAAAAATAAGAATAAAGTCCACTGAGCACAAGACACAYTTATGACTATGTAGGAGATTTCAACACAATGCAAATCAGTATACCAAAAAGTAAAGGATTCAAAGGGAAGAGAGCTAGAGAACAATAATGAAAACAACTGCATTTAAGTGTGCAATTCTGACAGGCAGAATAAACAAAGGCAGCTTTGGGATGGTGATAAACAGCTCAAAATGCAGCCTTGTGAGAATGTGAGGGAATATTATATCCCGTAAGATTAAAAGTGCCACCACCTTTTCCAACTCAATACAGACATGACAGCTGCTTAACTGGAAATGGTACTTCAGTCTCAACGGGTATCAGCAGTTCAGAACACCTGATGTGTTCGATCAGGGAAAATTCTATAGGTAAGTCCTGGGAACCAAATATCTTTCAAGGCCCCAAACTTCAGAAATAGTGACTTGGACGATAATTAAAGGAAATATGATGCACTGAAAGTGCAGAGGTTGGAGGATTTCTCTAAGGTAGCGTCATCTGAAATGAAAGACTTGAAAGTATATGTATTGAGCAGAGAGATAACTAGGTATATTTTCTGGAGTTCTAAGCAAAATTTGTTCTAAGAATKTATTGCCTCTCTTAGCTAA